CTTGTCCTCTGGGAATCCTGTGCCTGCAGGTTGCTTTCTGACTGCAAGAAGGATGGAAGGAAGGGGTGAGGTGCAAGGCGAGTTCTGGAGAGCTGCTGAAGAGTAAAGGCTACTTCAAGCACTGAATGGAAAGGTGGATGATCTTGCACCTGGTCTTTGGAGGGACTGGCAGGAGGCAGGACAAGCAGAGAAAGACGATAGCAGTAGTCAGTAAGGAAAGTTGTTTTATCATAGAATACTTCTTTGGCTGTAAAAATGGAAAGGAAGTGACAGCATCTGGATCTGGCACTGGGTGATGCAGTTTAGTGGTTTAGGTGTTACAGTGCTAGTGCTGAGTTGATGGTTGGACTTGATGATCTTAAAGGTCTCTTCCAACCTTGATGATTCTGTGATTCTATTCTATGATTCTATGACTTGGAAAATAAAGAAGTGGTACTTTTGTTAAAAAAATAATAAATTAGGGTAGTTATAAAAAAGTTAAGGAAAGCTGGCACTGGAGTTTGGAGTTTGAGAGAATAGATGAGATTACAAATTGATAACAATAATGAGAAGTAGAAGAGGAAAGTATTTTGCTTAAGTAATATAAAAAGGAAAATTTGGTCTGGAAATTTTCCAATTCTGTCTTTTTGGCTTCTTCTTCTTCCCTTCATATATTCCCCCAGGAAAACTCAGTGTCTTGAATAGGCATTGGGTAAAGCAGACAAATGGGGTTTTGTCTGATGAGTCTGTCTTAACTGGCTTTGACGATCACTTCCTGGGAAGAAGAAATAGCTTAAGCTGATGACTCTGACAGATAAATGTACAGAAAAGCTTGCAGGATAAGAGATAAAACTAGAAGACATTGAGAGTGTGAATATACATATTCCAACTGGTTGAATTTGCAAGCCTAAAAGAAGGGTGGCTGTAGGCAGCCTGTATTATTTGTTTCTGCTTGTTTTCCAGGTGGTAATGATCAATATTCACATGCAGGGGCTTTGCATTTCATAGTTCTTTACAGTCCTATAGTGCAGATGTCTTTCCCAAGGCCTCAGAAAGTTCACATGTTTTAAGAGTATTTTAGTACAATTGCTGAGTCTGGTTTTCATTACAAAAAAGTCCACAGATGCCCTTTTTAAACTTTTGCACTTGGTAGACTCAGACTACTTCCCTAACATTTTTTTTTTCCTTTTGGCTATCACATTTAGTAAGGAGAATGGTAAATTAATGGCAGGTGTGTAGATTTGGATAACTACCAGATCTAGAGTCATCACTGAAATAGCTTATTTTTTATATAGGGAGGTTAGTTGTTCATAGCAGACTTAATATAAATCCGGAAGTATTCTCTAGAAAAGTAGAATGCTATCTTAACTGTAGCCATGGTTCTGGAATAAACAGTAGCAGGGTGCCTGAAACCAAGAGAAAGAGCACCAATAAACTCTCCCTTTTCAATGAGTAGTCACAGTCCTGCCAGTAGATGTAGTTCACAGACTAGGTCTCCTGTGCAATATTTCCCCCTGCTTGTGTCACCTTCATATTTGAGCTTTGGAGAAGAGGAGGGAGAATGGGCAATGAGAGGAAGCAGAGGTGTGTTTCACTAGCTGACTTTTTTCCCATTCCTATTGGACCTTACAAAGCTTTCTAGTTTTCATTATCTAATGCCACTGTGTCACTGGAAGGGAAACCTCTGACTGTCCTGCTTCATTTACCCCAGATGGGAGAGAAGCAAACCTGAATTATGAGAACTGAGATTAAAATTAGCCCTTGTCAGTTACATACTTCTAAATGAAGATATTTTTTCATGCTTAAAACATCTCAGATTGATAAATTTCTGTAGTTTGTTCACAAGTAAGTAAGAACAGCTGCATCACTTAGGAAAGTTGGCTCTCAACAAACAAACAAAAAAATTCAAGTCTGGGGTATATCTATGCCAAATTTCAGCCTGGAGTGTATTTTTATGAGTTATAAACTCCTGCCATTTATAATGGAAATTCTGACAGGTCTTTAACTGTTTCATAGCAGAAGTATGACTGCAGTACTTTAGAGAGAAGAAGCATGTTGTCTCTCTGGCTGGCTTATTCTCATGATTTACAAACAAACAAAAAAATTCAAGTCTGGGGTATATCTATGCCAAATTTCAGCCTGGAGTGTATTTTTATGAGTTATAAACTCCTGCCATTTATAATGGAAATTCTGACAGGTCTTTAACTGTTTCATAGCAGAAGTATGACTGCAGTACTTTAGAGAGAAGAAGCATGTTGTCTCTCTGGCTGGCTTATTCTCATGATTTAGCCATTTTTGTGGTTTATTCTTTTCCTTTTCCCTAACTGTTCAAAAAAATTACTGTACTCTTGATGCATCCTATTTATCAGATATCATTGACTTCTGAAGAATAATGCTGCAGTGGTCCTGTCTCACTAATAAGATGCATTGATTGGATGAATGTATTGGAGCATCAGACATAAATTGTCATTCTGTCATTTCTTCACTCCGTCCTCTAAGAAGATTCCTTGGATATATGCTGCCTTTTCTTTTCTGTTACACATGGTTTCAGTTATTTTTCATTTTGTCATTGAGTATTTTTGAAGTTATTTCAAGTCTTTTGTGAATAATATCTGACCAAAGAATAATACAGAGACCTTCACAATATATAATCCCTAGGGCTGAGGAGAGATTATATAATGAAAGCAAATTTGTAATATGAGTTTAGCATTCACAATATGCTACAGAGAGGATTTCTCTATTGAATATAAGCAGAGTGATAGAAAGAGGCGACAAAGACAAAAATGTTTTTCCATGCATCCAGTGCATCACTGGAGAAGACCTTTCTTTTCCAATTCATGTTTCAGAATTTCATCACTGTACTATAATATCCCAGTTTTGAAGGTAACCATAAAATGAGAAGATTACATTATTGATTATGAATGTAAGATCACATCTGGTTGGGCAAATGGGATTTTTGTATACACAAAACCACCAGACAGTTTTTCACAGAGGAAAGATTAAATTAGTTGACTGTAACAGTAGCAAAAGCTAATCTACAAATAGGTAAAATTAGTGATTTATAATTGGCAAGAAATTCTGCTTTAAGCCTTTGAGTGCACACACAGTAAATTTGCAGAGCACTCTAAGTTGGGTGGGAGTGTCAATCTGCCTGAGGGCACGAAAGCTCTACAGAGAGACCTGGACCTACTTGATCAATGTGCTGAGAACAACTGCATGAGGTTCAATACGGTGAAGTGCTGGTCCTGCACTTGGGACACAACTACCCCATGCAGTGCTACAGGCTGGGGGAAGAGTGCCTTGAGTGTTGTTCTTCAGAAAGCGAATTGGGAGTGCTGTTGGACAGCGGCTCAATATGAGCACAACATGAGCTCAATATGGAACAGGTGGCCAAAAAGATCAATGGCATCTTGACCAGTATCAAGTGTGGCCAGCAGGACTAGGGAAGGGATCATCTCCCTGTTCTTGGCTTCGGTGAGGCCACACCTTGAGTAATGTGTTCAGTTTTGGGCCCCTCACTTTGAAAAGGACATTGAGGCACTGGAAAGAGTCCAGTGAAGGGCAGTGAGGGTCATAAAAGGTCTAAAATATATGTTGTATGAGGAACTGCTGAAGGAATTGAGTTTATTTAGCGTTGAGAAGAGGCAACTGAGGGGTGACCTCATCACTCTCTACAATTACCTGAATGGGGGTTGTGGACAGGTGGGGATTGGTCTCTTCTGCCATGCCTGCAGGGAGAGGACTAGAGGGAATACTCATAAGCTGAGACAGGGAAGATTCAGATTGGACATCAGGAAAACGTTTTGCCCTGTTAGGCTGGTCAGGCACTGGAATAGATTGCCCAGGGAGGTGGTGGAGTCTCCATCCCTGGAAGTCTTTAAGAGGTGCCCAGATCTGGCGCTGGAGGATATGGTTTAGGGTTTAGGGGTTACAGCAGAGTGGCAGGTTAATCATTGGATTTGATGATATTAGAGGTCTCCTCCAGCCTTGATTCTATGATTCTGTAGGTATTGTAGCTCAGCTTTGGAAATAGGCAAAAAAAGACAGAAAGGTATATAAGCATTGTAGGGAAGAAATGGAAAACACTTTTAAAAACCAGTGTGGTTGTACTGAGGCTGTACTCCTCTGAGCAGTTTTGTAACAGGTTCCTCTTTTCCTTCTTGTTTTGTGAATGTATCTGAACCTTGACTTTTGGTACCTTAAAGAAGCTGTGGTTAATAGTACAGTGTGCAGCAGGAACAGGCCTTTCAGACAGGAGAAATATCCCTGAGAGATATCAAGTGTTTTATGCTTCATTATTAAGTTGAGATAAATGATTTTTGCCATTTCTAAATACTTGAATGTTATCCTCTGAACTCAGTTCATATGGACTCACAGTAATCAAGAACCTGGGTCTGCTCTTTGTGGCTGCATGAGGTAGTCCCTGTAACTTCGAAGAAGTCCATTTGTGTAACATGTTTCTAGAAGCACATGGTGGTGAGCAATGGTTTTATTAGCCTTTACTTGGATTGACCTGCGTATCTGTGAGTTCTGATACCTGCAAATAATGTTCCAGTTCAGGATGATGAAACATTTACCCTCCCCATAATGTCCTGTATTGCACATTTATATATGCATCAGAGATGACTAACCAACAAAAATTCTAATGAAAATTTTTAGTTTGATTTCAATGAGAGGGAAAACCGTCCACCTTTAATCTACTTATTTGCTGTCTGATGCTTACTGAACAATTTAATAAACATAGTACTAGTGGATATCTAGCCATACATATATTTTCGACATTGTTCTAGTGTAATAGGTTTTATGCTGATCTCTCAGCTCTTGATTGTTGCTGTCACTGTCTGTGTAAAGGATTGTTGTTCCATAGGCCAAGTCCCTATGTTACAGAACAGCTCCTGTTTAAAATGCTTGACTGTGAGATGTTTTCAAAATGTTAGATCTAACTTTTCAACTGAAATAAATGCTGACATTCTTTATATTCCTTTTGCATCATTTTCATTAAATGCGCTTTTCTACTCTAGGAAAACAAGATTATAAGAAAACCAGGCCTATGTTAAGAGCTACAAGATTAAAAGCAGAGGCCAAGAGAACTGCACTAGGCGTAAAGGTAGAGATCTCTTTGATAGCTTAAATCACCTTTGTGTATATGTTGTTTCTTTTCCCCATAGATGTACTGCGTGAATATTGATTTCTTAGGCATATTGTTTATGACACTTCAAAATCTAAGTAGAATGCCAGAATCTAAAATATTTATGATAAATTGCTTTTACTTAAACCGAAAATAACTTGAATATTTGAAATGCCAAAAGAATTCTAGTCCGTGTCCATGTCATGACGCATACTTTAAGGTGAATGAAGTACTGTGTGCTTTGAAAATTGATCTTTTTGAGCAGCCTGTCTAAACACAGAACAAGATTTTTAACAATTTCATATAGTTAAAAAAAATTACAGTAAGTATCTTTCTTCTTCCTCTTTGTATCCTATTCCCAGTAGATATAAAGTCTGAGTTTTTAAGTGTTGGTAATTCTCAGCATTATCATCTCATCCTTGTGTACTGCCTCTGACTTGGAAAAAGAAGGCTTAACTAATAGCAAAACATATGGAAAGGTACTAAACTTTATTTTAAAAATGTCCTTTTTCAGGCAGGTATGAAGTGTAATAATGACTGATCATGGCTGTTAATATGAGCAAGGAGGGTAATTATGATTATTTTCTGCTATGTGCTACCCCGTGTATCATCAAAATGGGGTTTATCTGAATGCACATTGTTTATTTACCTTTCCTCCAGTGTTTTTCCCTCAAACCTATTTTTTTTAATCAGATTGATATACAATTAGCTTAGCAGCAAGGGTAAAACCTGAGCAAAATAAAAAAGTGGATCAATTACCTGGGTATTCTCATGAAAGAAACTTCAGAAATGTTAAAAGGAGAACATTTTCTTGTTTCTGGCAGATGAGAAATCAATTTTTTCAAGTTATAGCTTATAGCAAATGCCAAGGTATTACTACCAAGCTGTAACAGCTGTTTAGCTGCCAGATGATGTATTTGGTTGTCTTCCAGAATTTGCTATTATAATCACGAAACAGCGCTTTCTTTTTGCTCCTGATTGCTGATCTCGATCAAGCATTACCGTGCGATGCAGTATGTTTTCACAACATAATCTCCTCAGTTAGTGCCGTGTGTCAGGTTTTAATGAGAAAAAGGAGATTGCCTTTTTTGTTTAAAGGATAGATTATTAACCTATTGAGTTCCTTTTCCTTCCTTTTTTATTAAATTTTACTTTTTTTTTCCATTTTACTTTCAATGATCTGACCTTTTAAAAGTGATGTTGCATTTGGAGACTTACTGGACAGCCTTGTTCTTTTAAAATGTGCATGTTTTTTGCATGTCTTTCACAAGTGAGAAAAATATGAACCTTGGTACTTCAAAACCTGTTTAGTTTCCTTATTTTCTTAAGTAATTCTTCCTTAAAAAGAGGGAGAATAGGAAAGCATATGTGTAACCATGTATGTAATGAAGAATCAAGTATTAGTGAGTAAAGAAATCAGGAACAGTTTATTTTGTGTAAATATGTTCCTGCATATTAAAGCAGAACACTAGCTGACTTCTAGGTAAGAATGAGTTTTGCCACCAGAGGTACACACATGCTCTTCAGGTCGTGGGATGCTGTGTTTCTGGAGTTCTGCAGGTTGCATTGTATGATGTCTCAGGTTTACAATTCTGCCTCTGCCATATATATATTCCTTCAAATATTGTATTCTGGCTGTAATATTTTTTGCTCTCCTGGACCTTAAAATATGACACTGGATCATCCCCAAATAGATCACAGTCATTTGCTTTGCTTCCTAATTGCTGAGAAAAGCTGGCAGTGCTGAAGCAAAAAGGAAGGTAAGTTGGGCACCTTTCCCTTCAGGGATATGCTTGTGGGGGAAGGAAAGCAGGGCCTTGATTGTGTTCTTCTCACTGAGCCTGCTTAATGCCAACAACCTCAGGCTTACTAAATGTTACAATACTTCTACCAGAATCTGGGCAATCCCTGTAGAATAAAACTCTGCACTTCTGCTGACAGACCCTGCAGTGCTCAGCAGGGAAGCAAGGCATATGTAATGTCTTGGGGTAAGCATGCACCTCTTCCCATCTCGCAGTGACAGCTCTTCACCTTGCTCTATGCTTCCAGTTCAGCAAAGCTTCACCATGGGCAGTAGATGTGCCTGGAGTGTTTGCAGGGAAATTGCCCTCCCTACCCCTGGACAGGGTGCTTAGTTTTGAAGCCTCTATACCCCTCTCTTGGGCAGGACTTGTTTTGCTCAGTCCAGCATTAGGATCCTTCAGCTGTTCAAGTGCCATCTTTTGCATTCATCCACCACACTTACTCCAGATATTCCTCTCTTGTCTTCTGGATAAATTGTGAAATAAGAATTTCTTGACAACTCCTCCTTAGAGTGACAGGAGGGTATTAAACCACTCTTCATGTCTATGGCTGTCAGAAGAATCAGGAGAGTTGAGGTCCTATTAGGGCATGTACACTTGTGAAACAATGTTGAGGGTTGAGTGTGCCTTTAACTGTGTCCTAATATTCACAGCTTTTGAGTATGCCTGAGCACTTCCTTTGGGAAGATATCATCACAGTTGTCACTTCATATTAACAAAGTTTTCTTATCATGCAATCACAGAATGGATACAATTGGAATGGACCACAGTGTGTCATCTAGTCCGGCCTCCCTGCTCAAGCGGGGTCATCCTAGAGCACATAGCATGGGATTGCATCCGGATGGTTCTTGAGTATCTCCAGTGAGGGAGAATCCACAACATCTCTGGACAATCTGTTCCAATGCATGGTCAGCTCCACAGTAAAGGAAGTTCTTCCTCATGTCCAGGTGGAACTTCCTGTGCATCAGCTTCTGCCCATTGCCTCTTGTCCTATTGCTTGGCACCACTGAGAAGAGACTTGCTGCATCCTCTTGATACCCTCCCTTCAAATACTTATAGACATTATTGGGGTCCCTTCTCAGTTACCTCTTCTCAAGGCTGACCCAGGTCTCTCAACCTTTCCTCATAAGAGAGATGCTCCAGTCACTTGATCCACTTTGTAGCTTCCATTGAACCTGCTCCAGGAACTCCATGTCTCTCTTGTACTGAAGAGCCCCACACTGGACATGATACTCCAGATGTGGCCTCGCCAGGGCTGAGAGGGGTGGGATCACCTCCCTCAATCTGCTAGCAACACTTAATGCACCCCAGGATTCCATTGGCCACCTTGGCCACAAAGGCACACTGCTGACTCATGAACAGCTTGTTGTTCACCAAAACCTTCAGGTCCTTGTCTGCAGAGCTGCTTCCCAGGAGGTCAGCTCCCAGCCTGTACTGGTGCTTGGGGTTATTTCTCCTCAGGTGCAGGACCCTGCACTTGCCTTTGTTATGTTTCAGTCAGTTCCTCTCTGCCCATCTCTCCAATCTGTCAAGGTCCTTCTGAAAGGCTGCACAAAACTCTGGTGTATTGGCCACTCCTCCCAGCTTTGTGTTGTCAGTGAGCTTGCTGAGAAAGCATCTGCCCCTTCATCCAAGTCACTGAGGAATAAGTTAAACCATACTGGGCCCAGTATTGAACCTTGAGGTCTGCCACTAGTAACAGGCCTTCAACTAGACCCTGTGCCACTGATTATGACCCTCTGGGATCTGCCATTCATCCAGTTCTCAATCCACCTCACCGTCGACTCATCCAGTTCACAGTTCCTGATTTTGCCTATGAGGATGTTGTGACAGACAGTATCAAAAGCCTTGCTGAAGTCAAAGTAGGCAGTATCCACTGCTCTTCCCTTATCCATCCTGGTAGTTGTTGGGCAATTAGGTTGGTCACACATGATTTACCTTTATTGAATCCATGCTGATTACTCCTGATCAGCTTCTAGTCATCCAAATGGATAGACATGGCCTCCAGAATGAGGCGCTCCTTCACCTTTCTAGGGATTGAGGGGAGGCTGACTGGCCACTAGTTTCCTGGATCCTTCTTCTTGTCCTTTCTGGAGACTGGGGTGACATTTGCTTTCTTACAGTCCTCAAGCACCTCCCCTGATCACCACAGCCTTTCAAAGATGATGAACAGCCTTGCTGTGGTGTCTGGCAGCTCTCCCAGCACTCGTGGATGCATCTCGTCAGGGCCTGTGGACTTGTAGGTGTTAGGTTTGCCTAGGAGTTCTCTAACATAGTCCTCCTTGACCAAGGGAAAGTCTTCCTTCCAACATTCTTTTACCCTAATCTCCTGGGTCAGAGATTCCTGAGGGCTGGTCATGTCAGTGAAGACTGATGCAAAGATGTTTAGTAACTCTGCCTTCTCTGTGTCCTCTGTTACCAGGGTCCCCTCTCCATTTAGTAATGGGCCCACATTATCTTTTGGGTTTTTTTTTTTGTTACTGACATATTTGAACAAACCCTTTTTCTTGTCTTTGACATCCTTGTCAAGATTTAATTCCAGTTGGGCCTTGGCCTCCCTTGTCTCATTTCTGCTTACTCTAACAGCCTCTCTATATTCATTCCAAGTTGCCTGACCTTGACTCCATCTCCTGTGTATTTCTTACTTGCGCTTGAGTGATGACAGTTCTTTATTCATCCACACAGGCCTCTTGCCCCCTTTGCTTGATTTCTTGCTTATCAGGATACACGGTTACTGAGCCTGAAGGAAGTGATCCTTAAATATCAACCAACTCTCTTGGACCCCTCTTCCCTGTAGGACCTATTCCCATGGGATTCTTCAAAGAAGATCCCTGAAGGAGCTGAAGTTAGCTTTCCTGAAGTCCATGGTTACAATCTTACTTGCTGACTTGCTTCTTTCTTGCCCTGATACTGAGCTATACAATCTCACGATCACTACAGCCAAGGCTGCTCCCAACCTTCACATCTCCAACAAGGCCTTCTCTGTTTGCTAGTATGGGGTCATGGAGCACACCATTCCTTGTGAGAACCTCCACTGCCTGTGAGAGGAAGTTGTCATCAGTGCTTTCCAGGAACCTCTTAGACTGTTTATGATTTGCTGTGCTGTTTCTCCAGCAGATGTCAGGGCAGTTAAAGTCCCCCACAAGAACCAGTGCCTCTGAGGCTGCTTCAAGCTGC